AGCGTTTTCCAAACGTTTTCTCTGCCGGACGCCTTAGAAAAAATAAAAATGCTCGCGGACTAATCTTAAAAAAAAAGAATTAATCTTAATTGCTTTTCAATACAATAACTATTTCGACAAYGCGTTTATTATCCAGTATTTTCCGTATAATACGAATATGACATCAGTATTTTTGTTTTATAGATAGGTAATTTGTGTATTTTTAATTTTTAATTTATGTTCGCGGATTCCCTCTGGTATACGTGTGGACCACAGTTTGGGAAACAATGGTTTAGCAGGGTATATACATGTGTATAGTGTATTTTTTAATGATTTATTGAACTGTTGAACTGTCTTACAAAATTCTTGGAAAACTAGGTTCTTGAACTTAAAATACTTAAATATTTTAGATATTACAGCGGGAATTATGGGACATATGCTGCATAAATCGTTTTAGTTCTGATTTAATCACAATATAACGTCTTGAGTCTATACACACACAAATATATATATATATATAATCGTAACGGTATAATTATTATTACTATTTTTTTTATGGTAGGTGGAATAAAACAATAATAATAATAAGACAAAATAAAACTTTAAAAAATAGGAACAAAACTTATAATTTGCTCTCTGCTATGTTGAAGTGCGCAGCATCATTAGGTAAATAATAAATATCACAACAATATAATATGATTAATTTATGATGTATTGTGCTTAACAAAAAGACCAGATAAATGAAAAAATGAAAAATATATTCTAGTTAAATTTATAAAAAAAAATATAAGAATGTTTTACATGGATACAATTAGTAATTTAAGATTCACTTGGAAAATTCTCAAAAAGAATATTTAAAAAAAATTATAAAGCATATGTATGTCGAATAAATTTATTTWAAAAAAAAATATAGACATTTTACTAAACTACAAAATAAACTACTTTAGATTGTCTATTTTGAATGTTTTCAAAAAAATTTAGTTAAATTTAAAATTTTTTATTTTYAGATTAAAAAAATGAACACACTGTACTAATAGCGCAAGTGTCTATAAATATATATATATTTTTAATATTGATTAGAAAAAAGTTTTTTAATTTGTCAGGTTTCCGTTATGCCATTCTTATATTATCTATACCTACCTAGTGAGTTGTGTTGTATAAATCCAT